TACCCTTATGCATTGCCAGTGGGAATAGAAAATGCAGTGCAGTCCTTGTGGAAAACGATATTGAAATTCCCCCAGAACTTAAATGCAGAATTGCATGTGATCCAGAAATTCTAATTCTGGCTATATACCAAAAAAAGTGAAAGCAAGGACTTGAACAGGTATTTGTACATCCATGTTCAAGGTGGCATTACTCACAGTAGCCAAAAGGTGAAAGCAGCCCCAGTCTCCATCAATAGACGAATGGATAATGCAAATGGGGTAAATACATACAAGTGAACATTATTCAGTCTTAAAAAAGAAAGATATTATTACACATGCTACAACAAAAAGAAAGAAATCATTATCCATGTTGAACCTTGAAAACCTTATGCTAAGTGAAGTAAGCCAGTCACAAAGTAAGCCAGAAATACTGTCTGATTCTCTTTCTACCAGATACCTAGAGTAGTCGACTTCATACTTGGGGAAGTTGAGAATGTTCTGGAGGTGGACAGCGGTGATGGTTGCACAACAATGTGAATGTGCTAATGACGCAGACTGTACATATTAAAACGATCCATCTCTTATTATGTATATTTTATATTTTACTACAATAAAAAAAGAAAAATTTAACTTTCTAAAATACGATATTTTGATTTATAGCTGAACAATAAAAAAGGAAAGAAAAAAAAAACAACACCTCTTTCTTGATGCTTTACTTCCATTAATGCCAGAAAAACTGTCATAAAAACTACATAAATATATGACGAGTGGAATTTGAAAGGCACCCCTTGAAATTGTGCAGTGCACAACCTACACAAAGGAGCGGTGATTCTGTGTTGACCTCTCTCTCATTCCCCTGCTTTTGGAGGTCCCCAGCATCATTCCTCTGGTTTGACTGAGTGTCCGCTAGTCCTTGACAGTGCCTGAGCCAGCCTTGAATAGGGACGACGCATGTCAGTTGCCTTGGCCCCACCGCAAAGTAGAGCTTAGAAGTAATTTCTGGTGTTAAACAGATCTGGAATATGAGAAGCTAGGAATGAACTTGGAGGGCTCTCACTTTTACTCTTGAGCTCTATGGGCTCAATTTTACCTCCCAGTCCTAACACTTTCCTGCAACATGCTCAGCTCCTTGGACAAGCCTCTTTTCTAGACTCTCCCAGCCCCAGGCCACCACCTCTTGTGTGGGCCTTAAGCTTCTGTGTTTCCAGGAATGCATTTTGCCCAAGTCCATAGTGAAATACAGTTGGTGAGTTATCTGAAAGCCCGGGATCATGCCTGGGGGCCCCCTTCTCAACAGCAACAGGAAAGAAGCCCTAAATGGGGAGGGGGGTGCACTTCCCTCTAGACCAAGTCCATTTTTCAAGTAATCTAAGTCAAGTTAGTGCATAAAGTCGTGGTGGTGGGGAGCTGGAGTGAACAATCGATTTAACTTATTTTATCACTTGATAGTGACAAAATATCACCTGATTGTGATAAAATATGTACATTGAAAGAGAAGAAAAGAAGACCTTCTTCCAAGCCTCCTTCCCTGACAAGCCTTCCTGTCATCATGGCACTACTCTTCCATCATCACACCACTGGAAAGAGTGGTCCACACCCCCTGCTCCTGCCTCCTCCCCTCGCTTTCGTTCCTGGGAGAGTGATGCCTCCTTCCCCACCACTCCATGAATGCTGTTCTCCCAGAGGCCACTAAGGCCTTTCCAGTCGTCAAATCCAGGAAGTTCTTTTAAATCTTCATCTTTTTTGACCACTTTAAACTTCCTTCTCCTTTAGGTTTGTGATGCTGTCATATTTCAACTCTCTTTTTATCTTTCTGATTGCTTTTTCACTATTTCTTTGTCAAATCCTTCTGCCCATACCTTCAGCACTGGGTTCTCTCTGTGTGTCTGTCTCCTGCACATCTCCACTTGGACATCTCTCAGACATCTCTGACTTAGTATGTCCACAGCTGCCATGACTGCTCCTTTGCTCATCCCCTGGTCTGAATCTGCCCCTCTTCTGTCAGTGTCCCCAGGAGCTATTCATTTGCCCACACTGGAAGCTTTGAAGTCATCACTTTCTCTAGATCTTTGTCAAGTATCACTGTTTAGCTCCCCTAAACAAAATGGTAATCCCTCTCCACCCCAGGACCCCTGGTTCTCTTACCCTCTTCATTGCTCTCCTTAGCACATATCACCATCTGTATACTAGGTATTTAATGAGTTAAGATCTGTCTTTCCCATAAGAACAGAAGTCCATGAGGGTGAAGACTCTACTTCGTCCACTGTTATATCCCCACTGTCTAGAGCAGTGCCAGCAGCTTAGTCAAGACTCAGTATATATTTGTTGAATGAATAAAAGGAACTTGGATTTCTTCCTGTGCCTCAGACACCAATCTTTGGAAAGTTTGGAAGTTCTGCTGTTCTTATCTTGGAAGTGTGTCTCAAGTCTGTGTTGTCCTTGCTTCCTTTCCCATTGCTGCTGTCTTAGATTCCAACCTGCCGCACCACCCAGAACTCTCATGGCCTCCCAGCTGGTCTCCTTGCTGCGGCTGTCTTCTTAGACTGCTCTCTGCTTACCAACAGAGCTCTCTCTCTAAAGTACATCCTCCGCTTCTGTCCCGTGGATGTTCATACCGAAAGTGCTGATTGACATGTGCCTGACAGCCATTCAGACCTCTCTCCCTGGGACTCTCTCTGGGGAGAGAGATCTGGGGACGGCCACAGTCTCATCCCATTTTAAAATGAGGTTCAGGGAGGGATTGAAATGCAACACAGAGCTCACCGATGTAGGCTTTGACAAGTGGAGAGCCAAAGAATTGGAGACAAGTGATGCATCCTGTTAAAAGAACAGGGGAGAGATGCTCAGAGTGTGGACTGGAATGCCTGGGGCAGAATTCTAGAATGAATCATTACAACAGAGATCAACAACTACACAGGGGTAGGGAGGGGCTGGAGAGAGAGAAAAAAGAAATTCAGTCATGCCGAAGTGAGATAGGATTTCCACAGTTGTCTACATTGAAAAGCTAAAAATAGGGACATTTGGGGAGAAAAATAGTGAGGAATCTTTTAATTCTACTGACATGGGCTATAAGGAGGGAGTTTGGCAGGGAAGGATGTGTCTCTCACTCTTGGTGGCAAAATTAGAAAAGTTTTATTTTGAGTGCCCCAACCTTCACTTCCCTGTCCCGCTCCCAGCCTGTTCTCTCATCTTTCCTTACTACCAAAACCTTTTTTTTAGAAAAGGATCTGATACATTCATCCATATAAATTTATAATATTTAATGTGGTAATTTTAGACACTTAAATATAGCAACTATTAAAAAAGATGTATATAGTCCACGGTACCCAGGACAGGGCTAAACACAGTGGTTGTTCAACAAATATTTGTTGAAAGATGTTCAAATAAAGTATTATTTATATTATCAAACTCTTGAAACAATCTAAATATCCAACCATGGGGAAACCGCTGAAGAATTATCCACACGAAGAAATATTACATAGCTATAAAAATATTCAGAAAACCTTTTTAATGGTCCAGGAAAATGCTTATAATGAAATGTTAGGCAAAATCGGCAGGATTCAAACTGCTACTATAATGTGTCAATTATAAAAATCATTTGCGTATACAGAAGACAGAAAATATATGGGTGTCTCTGGAATCTGTGGGCTTTGGTATTATTTTTACTCCTTTCTAGTTTTCTGTATTTTTGGATTGTTTATATTTGGCATAAGATAAATATTACAAAGTAAATGTGAAAGATTTACTTGGGGGAAGAAAAACTTTTCAGGGGTCCCTCAAAATCACAGTGTATTGGTGTAGCCCGCTTGGTCTACTATACAGGAGGAGATGGGGTCTCTCCAATAAAGGAGGGTGGCTGGTCCCCCAGCAGAGGATGGGTTTTTAAAAAGCACTACAGCAGTGAGGAGTCTGACCTTTAAAGAAAAACGGAGTACCTGGTAACATTGATGCATTGGTGCCTCTGAATTTAGGCAGCCTTCCTCTGTGAGAGGGTTTCCATGTGCTAGGCTAAGAGGCTACTCCTACATCTAGCGCACTTTCCTCACCTTTGCGCCTTACACACTCAAGCCTTCAGGTACTGAGACATGTTTATTTTCACCCTGTCCCCCTCCACCCCATTTGTGAAAACTCAGCTGTAAGATTCATTAAAGCCCTTTGTGTTGGTACCTCGGTAATATTCTACATTAACATCTTTAAGAATTAAGGTTGTGTCCCCTTGTAAGAAAATATTATTTAATATCACTTCCATATCATACTACCTACATAGAAGGCTTGGCGATTTTAATACAGAGATCACAGGTTTCAGCATTTATAAAAGAGAAAACATGCTCTTTCGGTTATTTCTGGAAATGCCTTCTAAACATCTGCGTTTTCTTCTGACTTAAGTCGCTTCCCACCTCCTTCCCAGGGCATCTGCTGACTTGTGTTGTATGTTGCCTCTCTGTGGGAGAGCAAACTTCATAGTCAGGACAAAACAAACAAACAAACAAAACCAAAACAAAACCCAGCGACAGCAACCCCCATCCCTCTCCAAGTGTCTAAATTTCTACACTTTAAAAAAAAAATTAAGTCCTGGGCTATCCTTATGTCACAAGGATCTTAGACTCCAAATGAAGGGATTCGACAACTTTAAAAAGCTAACCAAATCTAACATTTTGCTTTTATTATTTACTAATTATTAAAATATCCAAACTCCTAATTAAGGAACTCCTGCTAGATGGCAGGAGCGACTGCGAAGGCGTGGGGGAGAAGTGTGAAAAGAAGAAACCCTAGCTCTGCCTGGGAGTCTGCGTGTGAAAGAGCCCGGCTCCCCCGGCAGCTCCAGGCCGCGTTTTGCAGGCGGCCGCATCTGCCTCCCCTGTCTCTCTTACCTCCTTGATGTTCGGCACTATTTGTGGCCGGCGTGGTGGAAGGACACAGTGAGGTTCTCACCCCCGCCCCCCGCCCCCCTCTCCCATCCCCAGTTCCATCAAAGCGAACCCGGACCAGCGCAAGGATCTCCGAGTTGCGAGTGTGCTGAGGCTGAGACTGTCACTCATTCTCCGATCAGCGCGTGAACGCAGCTCAGCAGCCGCTGGCAGGAAACAATTCTGCAAAAATAATCATACTCAGCCTGGCAATTGTCTGCCCCTAGGTCTGCTGCTCTGCCGCCGTCCACACTCGCTGCAAGGGGGGCACAGAATTTACCGCGGCAAGAACATATCTTCCGGCCAGCAGATTACAATGCTGCAAACTAAGGATCTCATCTGGACTTTGTTTTTCCTGGGAACTGCAGGTACATTTTATTTTTTTAATTGTCAGTCTGATTTGCTAATTACCCCCTTCCCATTACTCCTCCCGGAGGAGCACTGTTATTTTGGGTGGTTTTACGTGGCATGCTAAGGCTGGTCATCATCGGTGAGCTGGGAAAGGAGCGCGTCGCCCTTGCTGCCCAGCCGGACCCCGCGCCCTCCCGGGCTGCGCTGCACCCAGGCTGCCTCGCCGCGCCGCGAGCGCCCGGCGCCCCACCGGCGCGCCTGCCCTCCCCACTTTGTGTGCCCGCGGCGGTGGGAGCGGAGCGGGCCAGCTGCCCAGGACCCTGCGGCCGCGCCGGTGATGGGCAGCGCTCCTTCCCCGAGGGCGGGCGGCGGGGCGGAGGATGTCGCGGCTCGGGTGGTGCCGCCGCACAGGCTCGGATTCCGCGGGGAAGGGTCATGTCAGCCCCGGCTCCGGGAAGAGTGAACAATAAGGGCAGGGCAGCCACCCACGGTCGTTATTTCCCCGGGTCTAATAAAGTGGGGCTCGCTGCTTTCGCCCCCACCCTCCGCCCCAGGACGAATAACGGTTTGCAAAATGGGGCAAAACGGGCAGAATCGCGGGGCTGTGTGGCCGTTGGTGCACCCCCGTCGACATGACGTTAGTTTTTCATTTGCCAAATTGCTGGGGAGTTGCGAAGCCTACCCTTGGCCCGGTGCTCGGAGGGATGGGAGGGTCGAGCTCCGCGTTTTGACAGGAGGAAGTGCGGAGGGGCGGAGGGCGAGGAGGGCGTGATCGGGGCTGCCTGGTGTGTGCGCGCGTGTGTGCGCGTGTGCCTTTACACGCACGGCGAGCCCAGTGTACGCGGTGCGAGGGAAGAATGGCAGGTAGCCGCCCGAAACACCTCGCCCCAGGCCCCTTTCTTTGGGCGAGGTTCCTCATCCTGGCAAAGTGCGAACAATAGGGAGCCGAGAGGAAGACAGTAGTGATGCTGCCGCGGGTGGCTGGGCTGCGCCGCCGCCCAGAGAACCTCGGCAGCCGGGAGGGAGGTGCATTTCATTTTGGCTATTTCCATCTCGGCCTCCCTGGAAAATTATTCTGTGCGTGCCCACCCTCCCCTCCAGCTGCTTCCCCCACCCCCACTCAAGGATTTGCGCTTGGCGCTGATGGAACGGAGGGGAAGAAGAAAAGAAGCAGGGGCCGCAGAGAGCTGGGTGGGTTGGGCGGACACTTGGGCGAGGGGCGTGTGCCGGGAAGCGCCTGAAGGGAGTCGGGCGGAGAGGCTGTGTGTCGCGGTCGCCGCTGCCAGGTGCCGCTGTACCTGCCCTGGACGGCCGAGCCTGGGTGGGGGAACTCGCGGGGCGGGCCGGGAGCACCCAGGGCACCCCCTCCACGGGCGGCACGAGAGCGGCGCTCGGCCGCCACCTCCAGCCAACTCGTGTCCCTCCCATGGCGACCAATCAGAGAGAGGCTGGCTGGGCGGGAAGCCGCGAGAGGCTTTTATTGCGGCGCGGGTGGCGGCCCGGGGCTGCCAGGACCGTCTCCCGGTGTTCCAGCCTAACGGTCTCGCTCACCCCCCGCCGGGAGAGACCCCGCCCTGCGGCCGGTCCCGCGCCTGCCCCGCAGTTGCCAGGAAATAAAATGGAGACTAGGTGGTCACCGGGAGGTGTCCTGGTCCGGCCCGCCCGTGCTTGCCCACTCTCGCCTCTTTCACGCCGACTTGGAGCATCCCACCGCCCCTGCCAACACACACCCTCGCAGCCCGAGCGCGTCGCTTGGGAGGGCGCCGTGGCAGGGCGCACCGACGCGCGTGCGCTGACCGGCCGGCCGCGGGCCGGGGGCGATGCGGGGGCGGGGCGGGGGCGGGGCCTTCGCGGAGCGCGGATCAGGGGACCAAGCGTCGTCCGCCAGGCTCTGGGTCTCCGCCGTCACCTGGACAGGGCGGCCCCGGCCATACCTTTTTCCTTCGTGCCCGTGGGTCTCCGTGGAGGTGCTTGTCCGCGTGGGTGTGTGTGTTTTTTTGAGACCTCCTCCCCTCTGGGTGGGAGAGTGACAAAGGACACCGGATCTTTGGGGGGGGAATCGCCTGGTCGTCCTTTCCATCATCGTGGTGGGTGTAACCCTCAGTGTTTGGAGCCCGTGGGAGTTGCAGGCGAGTACACGCCCAAGAAATCCCACATTGAGATGTTCCTGGATGCCCAGGCAAGGGTGGCATTCTGACCAGTGTTCCCTGGAATGAAAGCGTTCTCTTTCCTGGCCCCAATACCTTGAAGGTGGGAAGAAGGCAGAACACGAAACACGTACAAGATTACTTAACAAAAGAAAGAAGTTGAATGGTTTTCCAAAGAGAAATAATTTTCCTTTATTGTTTTTACCATAGTTAAAAAAATAGAATCCAAGTCAAAGGGTCAGGAAGAAAATAAAAACAATATAACACACATAAGTGTGTGTATGTGTGTGTGTGTGTGTGTGTATGGCTTCAAATGTCGTAGCATCTCCACCGGCAATGATAATTCAGGCTCTGTGCTCCACTCTACACATACGACGATTTAGACATAAGGCACTCTAACCTTAATATATGAAATGAATCAGGTCAGCTGCCTTTCTCTCGTTTTGGTGTCTTCTGCTTTTTAGGAATACAATGAAAGGTTATGGAATTGCATAGTAAATTTGAGCCTATTCTAGAAGCAATTTCGGATGTTGTGTGGAAAAATTGTTTGCTCGAACGATCTGGAATAGTTAAGTCACATGTTTACCTCCTAATTTTGCAGTCTTCTGCCAGTTTAACTTGGAAGAGTCAAGGAATGGATAGGACTAGGTTTCTAACAAGATAACACCAGATTAAGAACAAAGAGCACCTTTGCAGTCTTCCAAAAGCTAACCTACAAGTAAAGCATATGTTAATATAATATCCCTAGCTAAACGAATGAAGATGCGTTTCAGCAAAGTTTGCTGTGAGCACAATTATGGCGAGCTACATATATTTCTTTGTTGATTTCCATTTTAAGATTGGATTTGTGTCTTTCTGAACAAAATTTAACCAAATGTAATACAGCCATATATAAGAAAGTGGAAACCTATCATAATGCTATCCAAACCCTCAAAAGATTATTTTCTTTTAATAAATATTAGCATAATTGAAAATATTAAAACTGAGAATATATTTAAAATTAGAGAATTAAAAACAAAAAGAGAATATAATCCAGACATTGTGCAAGTGTGGCCTGTCATTTATTTAAGTTTTTGAGTAACTGTTCTCACTACAGAGGTCATAAAGATCTACCAACCTGGCTAAATTTTCATTAGTCTTGCATTATTTTTTAGAATTAATTCTTCATGAAGCTCCCTCTTTCTTACCCCAAATTATTGATCTTAATGACTTTTTTCCAGATTCCTTTACCAAAGGTCTTTTCTTTGTTTTTAAAATAATATTGGAATAACAGAAAAAAGCAGGATATATCTGCGTTCAGTAAAGGGGCTTCCACTAAGTCTTCCTATGCTAATTTGGTTAAACTAAGAATTTGTTGATTTAACTGGTGACTGGTTTCTTGCGCTTGATAGTTCAAGAATTAAGGTAGTAATTGCCCCCCAAAAATCCCACAAAAAACTAAAAAAAATATGATGTAGGTGTGTTATTTATAAGAGATGTGGGTGTTTATTCAAGGTAGGAATAAGAGGGAGAAATTAGTCACATAAAACCCCCAAATTCACAAAGTTTTTGCATAGTGCTTTGTACATTCATCATTAATTGAATTCCTCAGGTAGGTAATATGTAATTTAATGTAAGTAACTTATATCTGTATTTTTCTGTCACAGGGAACAATGTCTTAATTGCCTCTTAAGATAAATAGCACCATTTTGCCATTCAAAAGCTAATCTTCAGACATGACAGATGTTTTTGTTCGCTACAGAACTCAGTTTCTCAAATTATAGACAGCATTTTGTAAACTTTACACCGCCTGAAATATGGACTTTGGAATTTCTGATGCAACCACTTAATTTTTCAAGGTGAAGAAGCTTCTATTTCGTATTAGTTTGATGAATTCCCCATATTTACGTTTTCGGTGTTGAAGAACTGTGGCTGCTTTCCAGACTGAAAGTGGCTTCAACACTACTGGCAGACCTCCAAAGACATTTTACAGACAGTCCTTCCAGACTTAGTGTAAAATAAGTGATTGACTACCTGTTGCTAAAGAACTGTTTGAACTTTCCCTGATGAGCTTGGGTTTGTGGTGATGGAGAGCAGAACCAATTGGCAGGCAGGGGGAGGAAAGGACCGCACCTGCCCCTGTCAGTCTGCGGGAACAGTCTGTTGCCTGGGAGGAGACAAAGACGTTTTTAAAAGGCTCCCCTGTAATATTTAAGTATTGAGTTTTAGAGCACACAGATGTTTTACAGCATCAAGATACATATTTTAATGTAAATTCCATAGTTGATCATTCTTCAGTTTATCAATCTAAACAAATATATAGGCTAGAAATGTCTGGAACTTTAAAAGAAATGGCAGCAAATTACAAAGAGCATTTTAATAATCTTAAAAGTGGGTTATGAATTAAACAAAATTCAAAGCAGTCATTTGGCTGTATAAAATAATGGTCATTTGAGCTTTGAACAAAAAAGACAAGGTTAAGATTCTTTTGGTTAAAAAGAAAGAATTCTGAGTAAAATTCAGAAAAAGAATTTTATACGTTTCTTAATATACTCAGTGAATCTCTGAGCAATGTCTTAGGAAGGAGGAAATGCCCAGGGACCTCTCTGAATCCTAATGTTTAGATTTCTATGAGCTTCAGCGTTTTAATATTAAAAAACATTGTAGTGAAACCATTTGCAATAAAACGGGTAGATACGCTGACTACTGTAGGGCAATAGAATACAGAAGTCAATCTGAAGGTCACAGTCATGTCACCTCTAGCCCTTTTTGTTATTAACTCTTGATGCCAAACCTTAAAACCATTTGCTGATGTAAAGGGATATAAATTATTTGGCGTTGGCAGCGGTGCCATTATGCCCTTTCATTTCATGTTGTTGAAATACTGTCTC